GTGTGTGGGGGGATGGGCCGGCTCTGGAGAACATATGTTCAAGCAGAGATAGCCACCCCCATTACGCCACCGCTGCTGCAGGGGAGAGCAATGACGACCTTTTGGCGTACAGTCAAATCCTCCCTTCAGAAACCCCTTTAACGGGGAACCCTGGTATTGCCGCTGCAAAGAGGAAGATGGACTAAAGGATTCCGCCCAAGGCCTGATACCGCCAAAGTTGTGACGTTTTGCTATGGGAAAGGCGAAACCTGCCAATGCAGGGAAATTCCTTTCCGGCCCTTTAACAGCGACCTTGACGTAGCAGTGCCCGCATACCTGTGAAGAAAAGTTAACCTGCAAACCTGTGAAGAAAGGTTAACCTGCAAAACTAGACATTAACTGAGGGTGGGTAGGGTGGGAGAAGCTCTGGAGCCAAGTGAGGATTCCCAGGTAAGATCCTCCCTCTATTGTGTGGGCAGGTCCCTCCCCTACCTGGCCTGGTCTCCTTGGCAACGCTCTCCCCAGGTGGGATTGGACAGCTGACTGAGGTAGGCGGAGACCTCCAAGTATCCCACCTGAGGGAAGGCGAAGCCAAGCCTATGCTGATGCTCCAGATCCAGGGGCTGCGCGCGTCCACGCAAAGGGCGCCCCCCGTTTTATGTGTGGAGCGGTCATTCCTGAAGGGGTCGCCTCTATTTGATGTACGGCATAGAGTACAGCAGAATCAACACAGAATCAACCCTGCAAAATAATTAAGCAGCCATTGGATTGGTTGATTCAGGATACATACCCAATGCCAATGCCAAAATCTACTTACATCTGTAATCCATAAGGTTGTGGCCTATTTGAACCCCAGATGTTTGTCCTGTGTGTTTATTGTATTTTTCCATGGTACAGGCCCTGCCAGCCCCGGGTTTCCTGCTCCGGGGGCCACAATAAAGCTTGCTCACTTAAATGGCTGCATTGCAGCACTTATACTCTATTCAAGTGATTCCCTTATAGCCTTGCACCTTCCTAAACATGCTCCAGAGGCTCCCCAACCTCCCAGGAAAGATTTAGGGAGCAAAGCTGCAGAGGGCCATAGCTCAGTGGTAGATCATCTACCTTGCATGCCAAAGGTCCCAGGTTCAATCCCTGGCTTCTCGAGGTAGGGCTGAGAAAGACCATGCCTGAAAGCCTGGAAAGCTGATGCTGGCTAGTGTGGACAATACTGAGCTAAAAGGAATAGTGATCTGACTTAGGGCCCATTCTGTTGACAAGCACCTTCTCAGCAAATGGACAACATTAGATACATTGTTGGTATAGCTGCTTACACACACACACACACACACACACACAGAGAGAGAGAGAGAGAGAGAGAGAGAGAGAGAGGTTTCAGTGAAGTTTTAATTTGAATGCCAGTCATAAAAAACAAAAAAGTAACAAATAAATAAATCAATAAAAATAGGCCAAACTCTTGAGAGGTAACATAGCTGACAGTTATCAGTTGAAATTAATGAACAGTAGGAAGTGAGCTACAATCAAGCTGTGAAAAGTCTCTCCAGGGAAGTTCAAAAATATCCTGGATTGAAGATGTTCAAAGTTAACTTCAAAGCAAAATATAAAGAAAAACAAACAAAAATCCTCAACAAAAATCCATCATGACCAAAACCTAAATTGAATGTTTGTATTTTTTATATATATCTTTTACAATTCTCAGTGGCAGTATTTTAAGGATTCTTAGACTACAGTCAGAAAATCTTGGTTTAACTGAGGTAGATGTAATCAGTACTCATCGATTTGCATAATTGGCACGACAGATTTCAATTATATAATTATTGTAAATATATGCAATGATACAATTAGGAGTTGTAATTACAATGCATAACTACATAATTAGGTGTTATGACATGGTAAACCCTTGTGAAGAAAGTGGGAGACCTCACTATATTTTGTAGGAAGAATGTTGTGCTATGATTAGGACATCACATTTTAATAGGAACCCTGCAACACCAATTTATGTTTATAGCTCACAAATGAATGTTAAAAATTAGGGAAATGGTGCTAAAGTGCTTGGGAGATATGTGGTTGGCTCCCTAAACGGGGGTCTTTCAGTATTGTACTGTTTAGTACCGATATTAAACAACCTGTCCAGCATAGAATTTGCACACCATAACATATCTTAAGAGTGAAGGGTAGTTAAATGTAGCCTGAAAAGGGAAGTGATTCCCATGAAAGATTTTGCACTGCATTATAAAGCTTGGCTTGAATCCAGAACTTTGCTCCTGCCAACAGAAACAAAGGAGGCAAATTTGCCAACTCCCCTCCCCCTCCGGAGGGGGCCCCAGAGGAGTTTCCGAATTTTGGAAGGGTTGAGAGACCCCCAAGAACTGTGGGGCAACTGCAAAGGAAAGGGTGAATTGCTTAAAATTATCTCCTCCTTTCCACAACTGGTTCAAAAGTCTTTCATGGATAGAAGAAGCCCTTCCATTTGTAAAAGTAAATGGGTAAATAGGTAAAATCTATCTTCACTATGCAGGGTATCGAGTTAAGTATTAGCAGTAAAGAAGAATACAGTAGTAACAATGCACATACACCTTCCCTGCTGTTTAGAAATGGGGAGGAACTTTCCCATATGACCTTTGGGCATTAAATTGAGATCTCATTGAATTGAGATCATGACTAAGGCTGTGTACCCATTACCAGTTTAAAATAGCTAGGTTGTTCTTTAACTCAATAGAAGGAAAATGCATCAAAACACAGTATTTCAGAAGAAATGACAGAGTAGGTATTACAACAAAAAAATTCCTTCCAGTAGCACCTTAAAGACCAACTAAGTTAGTTCTTGGTATGAGCTTTCGTGTGCATGCACACTTCTTCAGATACACTGAAACAGAAGTTGCCAGATCCTTCTATATAGTGACACAGCTATATATGTGACACAGCTATCTGCCAATCACACCTTCTATATATGTGACACAGCTATCTGCCAATCACCCATTCCCACCACCCTTCTGAGTAATACCCCTCCCCACCTTCTCACTATATAGAAGGATCTGGCAACTTCTGTTTCAGTGTATCTGAAGAAGTGTGCATGCACACGAAAGCTCATACCAAGAACTAACTTAGTTGGTCTTTAAGGTGCTACTGGAAGGATTTTTTTTTGTTTTGACTATGGCAGACCAACACGGCTACCTATCTGTAACTAGAGTAGGTATTGATTGCATATAGTGCTTCCCCAACCAGTGGTTGGAGTTTGCTGGATGAAGATTAAATGGCAGCGTATATGCAGCCTGCATTGTGATGCAAGCTATGGCTTCACAATTGCCCATATAAGTGGTGGATAGAAGGTATCATGAATTAGACATGAATCTGAGACCTTCAAAACTGAGCCAACCATTTGTGGAGTCGCCTCTTTCCAATTATACTGAATGAAGAGCAAAGCCTAAGCATTTTCTTTCATCTGTAATGCTTACACCTTCATTATGGGTCTCATTTACAGATGCTTCTCAAATACTATATCTCCCCCTATGTATTTTGGAGTTCCAGTCTTCTTTCTGAAGTGAAACCAAGGGAAACTTGCAATTTAATTCTGCAGTTCCATTTTCAATTCCCAAATTTTCTGTGCTGCGGATGCAGGAACAGCCTTCCTCATCTTCTTCACCCTGGCAGCCCCTGCAGCTTCCCCCAAAGGCTCAGTGAGCTGGGTGGAAAGGGAAGGGAAGGGCTAATCCCTGAAAATTACGGTATTTTCCCCCTATAGGACGCACCTTTTCCCCTCCAAAAATGAAGGGGAAATGTGTGTGTGTCCTATGGGGTGAATGCAGGCTTTCGTTGAAGCCTGGAGAGCGAGGGTGTGCACCGACCCCTCTCACTCTCCAGGCTTCGTGCAGCCCTCTGCTAGCCGTGGGAGAGCTGCGCGAAGTCACACAGAACTCCCACGGCTTGCGGATAGCAGCCTGTTCTGGGGGCTGGAGGGGGAAATAATTTTTTCCCCTTTATTTCCTTTATTTTTTCTTTATCCCCCCCCAAAAAAAAACTAGGTGCGTCCTATGGGCCGGTGCGCCCTATGGGGCGAAAAATACGGTAGGTGGAGGCAACATGCATGAGCGGCATGCCCACAGGTGGAGCTTGTCTCTACCTGATCTCCTTCCTCAGTCCCACATGCCATAGCCACTTCATTCATCAGGGTCCCTAGAACCGTAGAGGAACACCTTTCATCAGCCCTATTAAACATGTATATTTCTGAATCAAACCCATTGCAAACAAATAAATAAACTACCACGCAATACTGTTAAAACCACAAACAAACCCATGCACCTTGATGTAATCGTATACATTTTATTCAAGGCTTTTCTGTTTTTGTTTTTTGCATTCTATCAGTGCACTCATTTATTATGTGATTTTTATCTTTTCATTGGTCACTTCACACCTATGGAGTTTTGCCCCCCAGGAAAAAGTACAGAAGAGGAATTTAAAGAACTTTAATTAACTGCTTGGTTTTAAGGAAGTGTAACATAGTTTTAATTGCATGCTTATATTATTGTGCTATTATTATTATTCATAATTATTCCATTGTACTCCACATTGAGAGAACTTATGTGCCCTGAAAGACATTTTGGGAATCATTTAATAAACCAATATTTTGCCTTCTTTTCATCAGGAATGAACTCAGAACAGGATAATGCAACGAAGCCACAAATACACTGAAAGCAAACCTCACAGAAAGCTCTGTTTCTGAAATTGATTATAAAAAGTCTCTTCTTAAAATGGAATTCAGAAAGAGTGGAAATGGAAGACAGAGTAAACAGGAAGCAATAAAGAATGGCATGGAGAAAATCCCTTGATGCTAGCCTGGCTTAGTTGCATAATGGCAAGAGATTTGGGATGAGAGCAGCTTTGAACGAAGCATTACAGAAGATAGGCATCAAGCAAAGCTCTGACTGGAAGACACGCCACAGCCATTTTTAAACCATCTTCATTTAAATACTTTACAACAGAAAGAGTGGAGTTTAAATTCATACATAGTAATTTGTACTTACTGTGTTGGCAGTTCCTTCCCATAAATTCGCCAGGACACTCACATGAATAGTTAGCTACCAGATCTGTACAAATGCCACCATTCTTGCAGGGTTCAGCTTCACATTCGTTCACATCTGTGGGGAATGCCCAGTGACAATATTAGACAGATATTCAATATAACATTTGCATTTTACACAATAAGAAAGTCAGACACTTTGTGAGATTGTGTATGGTAAGTACGGCTAGCAAACATATTTTCACTGAAGAATGCAATAAGGCATAAACTATTTTAACACTGGGGACGCGGGTGGCGCTGTGGGTAAAAGCCTCAGCGCCTAGTGCTTGCTGATCGAAAGGTCGGCAGTTCGAATCCCCGCGGCGGGGTGCGCTCCCGTTGCTCGGTCCCAGCGCCTGCCAACCTAGCAGTTCGAAAGCACTCCCGGGTGCAAGTAGATAAATAGGGACCGCTTACTAACGGGAAGGTAAATGGCGTTTCCGTGTGCGGCTCTGGCTCGCCAGAGCAGCGATGTCACACTGGCCACGTGACCCGGAAGTGTCTCCGGACAGCGCTGGCCCCCGGCCTCTTGAGTGAGATGGGCGCACAACCCTAGAGTCTGTCAAGACTGGCCCGTACGGGCAGGGGTACCTTTACCTTTACCTTATTTTAACACTGTTGAAACTCTTATACCTTTCCCTCCCTTTCAAATACACAATTAAGGATGCAATGTATTCAAATTAAGACACTTTAACACCTCAGTTAGTTTCAGTGGAAGACAGCTATATGATCAACCCACTTTCATTGAAACTGATGTGACATAAAAGAGCATTATGAGATTTTGACATAAGCCATAACTGGAACAGGAGAATGCATAATTGATGGCTGCAGAAACTTAGACACTATACTTTGTCCCACAGTATCAAGATATGGCAATAGATGTAGCTGTTTCAACCCTGTTGAGTGTTTTGATCCATTGGCTGCATTTTTATTGTATTTCCAAAACGAAGACAATAATGTTTTAAATAAGAAATATTCACTCACTTCCACTAAGGGAGCCAGTCCTTTACTATCTCCTGTCCTTCACTTAAAATTGATAGAAATTGATCCATTGGACTGCACACAGCTCTGAAAAGTACTGTAAAGCTATTTCTTCAGTGTCTACTCTAGAAGAGTTGCAATTCAGTCAATATCACCTTCACAGTAGGCCCTTACTCTGTGGAAAATGATATCTACTTCAGGGCAGAATTTGCCATATGGTATATGGAAATATGCTATATGGAAAATCCTAAAAGAGGTCAACGTAGCTCTTCCTCCCTATAAAGGTCACATAGTATGAAGTCCTTCAAAGGTGACAGCTTTCAACATGGAATAACATGAGGACCCATTCCTATGAATGAAACATTGTCTGAAGCAAACCGCCGCCCCACCCCCATCTACTAGAATTGGATCTTGCCTGAAGAGAGTGACTATTGGCTGAAAATTAAAACTTTCTCAATGATATGGAGAGAGTTGATAATTTCCCCCCCCCCATTTTAATTACCTTTAATATATACTGGGATAGGCTTCTTAGTAATGCAATTAACTTATTTCCCATGTAATTTCACACTTTAAAAGTATGCTTCCAGGGAAAGAATTCCCATCATTTTTATTGAACCTGATTACCAAAAGTGACTGTATATATAACCAGTACTTTAACAGATTGTATTATTATTATTACTACTACTAGTGTTGTTGAAAAAACAATTTAAAAGGTCATATGAAAGAAAGTTAAAAGTCATTAGAGGAATCGTTCAAAATTACAAGAACATTTCAGTCTACAGACAGAATAAGCACTTTTCCAAGAGAACATAGTTTTCTTGTGCAAGTAAAATTTTCAACCAGGTGCAGGTCACATTATTTAAAAAGTATTCTATGTTACAGGCAACAGGAAGGAACACAATGCAGGCAAATACTACCTGTCAAAGTTGTACAGTACGATCCAAACGATCTCTGTGCAAAAGTGGTTATAGGATTTCAGCCTTAAGCTGTACCCTAAGGGTTTCTGCACACTTACCTTTCACCTGCTCTTTCCAGGCAAGGTCTATAAGTTAAAGCTCCATTTTCCCTAAGAAAACCTGTACCTGGAAAGAGCAGGGCAAAAGTGTGGCCAAGCCCTTACCTGAGAGAGTCCCATTGCACATGGTGGGACTTGCTTCCCAGTATACATGCCTAGGAATGTGCTGCAGTTTTCTCTAATAGCATATACTAGTTGTTTTGCAGGAGCATATATTGGGTTAAAAAAACAAAGAAAATTAAACTCTGAAAACTTCATGAAAGTTGTTGGTTATATTTCTTGTGCACAAACTGGCCTGTCAGTACAAGAAAGGTTCACACAGAATACATTTGGAGATGCCTTAATGCCGAAGGTAAACTCAATTCCGGCAAGATTATAAAGCCATCATCCTTTAGCAAATATCATTTTAAATCCCCTTGTGTATAATAGATGCTTAGCTACATTTCAAACCAGCAAAATTCTCTGACAAACCTTTTATTAAAAGAAAGGAAAAAGCTTAAATTTGTCTCCCCCCCAAACCTTTTAATTCCAATAAAGCCTTCATTCTGCACAAGGACAGACATAAGAATGTCTCGTTGTGAAAGCCCTCATGTTTATAGGACTGCCCTCAGATGATAATGTGAATAGATTCAATAAGCCTGTTTCCTAAATGCTAAAGTCTTGTTGGAGATGAGATCACAACAGCAGTTAAGCTACCTTCAGAAGCAATGTACTTATGAACACCAGATTCATCCAACTGACCCATTCCCACAGAAGTGCAGAGATAAACAGCAGGGGTGTTCAGTTGTTTTCATGTTCTGCTTGTAAGCTTCCCAGGAGCATCTCACTACCTTCTGTTAAAAATGGAATGTTGAACGAAGTGGACCTTTTATTCTGATTACTTCTGAAAATGGCAATTTATCATCATAAGGTAATCAAAAGGAAAGTGAGACAAGCTCAACACTGAGAAAGAAAGGTTGGGGATAGTGGGGTGGAAACAGCCAAACCATACAATCTAAGCCATCTGCTCAGTCCAAAGGGCTGCATTAAAAATACATCATGGGGTAATTTGCATATTTTTATTTAGCACCAATGACGAGCATGACTGATTGGCATAATCTGATGGACATGCATTTCTTCTATCATGCTGTTTCTGGTTAGAAGTTTCAGTATCTTTTTAATTGCTTGATGATTAAGCCAAGAACTCAGAGCAACAATTCTTTATAATAGCAACATGGATAATGGTTAAAATGAATTCCACATGGCAACTTCTGCACATGGTAGGTGTAGCCTGGATTGTAACCAGGATTGTTTGCATCACATGGGCAGTTTTATGTCATGATGTGGTTGAACATACCATGCATTAGTTTCAACTGGCCTCCATGGGAACACAAGAAGCTGTCTTCTACCAGGTCAATTTGCCCATTTAGTCCAGTTTTGTCTGCTCTAACTGGCAACAGCTTTCCAGGAGCTCAGATCAAGCAAAGTGCTTTCACCCTGGTGGAGGTACCAGATATTGAGAATGTAACCCCTTGCATGCAAAGCCTATGTTCTACCACTTAGCTATGATCAATCCCAACAGGACTCATGTGATATGTACACTGGTGCCAAGCTTGCACTTCCCTTTCAACAATAACTGGGTGGCTCACATGCAAGAGTCCAGCTGTAATGCAAGCTGGAGCAGCTTTTCAAATATCACTTGAATTTCAATAACAGAAATTGCAGAAAGTTGAAATACTTTCCCCATATTTAAATATAATAGTTTTGCTAAATTATGTGCAGCTGAATCAGATTTCTTTTTTCTTCAGATAAACTAGGCTCAGTCTCTCTTTTATTTTGTCTTAAATTAGTCTCTGTTTTCCTCTACTGATACAGTGTTGCGCACTGTGTCATGACACAGACATTAAGGTTACCAGCAACCTCCAAATTTAGAAGTCAAGGCATTTCATGAGAATCAAATGGCCAATAGGTCATTTTCAAAAAGCTGTCTGAACCTGAAGGGTCTCCTGGAGAGACAAAAAGAGCAATAAACATTTCCTTCTCTCTGAAGTTCTGGGGAGGAAAGGGAGAGATTGTGCTGATTCAATATAAAATGGCTTTTTCACTCTTTATTTCAAAGGAAGAAAACAAGCCACTTTTTGAAAGAGAACTGGAGAAAAACTTATACTTTCTAAGAAATTGAAGGAAACGGATAACGGAGAAAAATAAAATACGCTCAGGGCTCAGATAATAGCTTTTGCTTGTTTGAATAAATAATCTGGAGAAAAACTGAAAATATTTACATAAGTTACACACTTTATGATAAGTGTGCTGTACTGAGTGATAAAAATGAGAATTAGCATATAAACCAGCATTTGGTCTATTGTGTGAGCCTTTCTCCAAGCAAACCCCTATTGGTGGAAATAACAATTTCTTCCTTTAACTGAGGATTGCTATATAATGCTGATTTTGGAGAATTATTTACTTAAGCTTGAAGCGTTTAAAGGCGCTACCTTCAGAATGTGAAGTATACAAAACCCAGAAGTTCCTGAATTCATGAAGTGCTACATTGTTAGAATTGGAACTGGACCTCATACAGCCGGATTCTAATTTCTGCACAGCTACTCTGGGTGGCCCTGGGCAAGTAAATTACTATTTCTCAGATTTGCTTTCCTTTTTACAATGGTATCATGACGAGTGAGGAGGGAAATAAATTAACTTAATGCACATTTCCCTGAGCGCCTTGGAAGATGATTGGGATACAAATGCAGATATATGGATGATGCAAACAAAAAATAAATATACAATTCTTGTCAAAATTGTATGGCTGATACTCATTCTGTAAAAAGATTTGTTGATGCTGTTATGTTTGATTTCATGAAAACATCCTAATTTTAGTCCATATTTATTGGCTTTGTTCAGATGCGTGGTGATCTCCTCACCTGCTGATCCCAGGGCCCAAGGTGGTTGATATTGGGAGAGTTATTCCTTTAGGTATTTGGATCCCTAGCCATTTAGGGCTTTGTATGCTGGTATTAACACCTTGAACTGGGTTTGACAGCTCACTGGCAACCAGTGCAGAACTTTCAGTGACACATGGTCAGGCTGCCCCACTCAGCAACCTA